GTCTTCTCTTGTTGCAGCGAGGAGAAAATGAACAAGCTCTGTAGGCAGGTGTCCATCGAGAGTCCGAGCGTGACGGGTCGGGAATGGGTGTTCAGTTTCGACGTTCCGGTTCCGGAAGTCCCGTCCCACGGAGCCCGTATCCGGGTGATGTGTGCAGGTGCCTGTTACCATCCACGTCGTTCGCCCAGCCTGGGCAGTCTGACCTCCCTGTCCAGCAGCAGCAGTTTGGCCACGGAAGTCTCGGTGGAGGGTGACTTTCCGATGTCTTTGCCGCATCATGGAGTCCGTGACGCGGCTTTATTTCCTGGTTACGAGGTCGCTGGAGTGATCGAAACTCTGGGCGCTAACGTACCCGAAGATTGTGGTTACGCGGTCGGGGATCGTGTGATCCTCTATCCGTACGAGGGTATACCGAACGGATACGTCGAGTATCTGGTCGTCCACGATCTGAAATACTTGATAAAAATTCCTGACAACATGAGCCTGAGCGTGGCCGCCATGTTGCCCGCCGGTGCCCTTTTGGCTATGAACACCGTCTTCGCAGCCCACGAACATGTCCAGGCGTTGCTGAAACAAAGGGGCGTGAATAGCGTCTGCAAGATACTGATCGTCGGTACCGGGGGCCTGGCTCTCTGGGCACTTCGTATCGCGGCGTATCACTTCAGCAACATGAAGGACAGAGTCACTATCACGATCGCCTCGCTGAAGGATGATGGGCTGACCATGGCACAAGAGTTCCAACGGTGAGTTACGTTCGCGGGGTTTGTTGGATATCGATGTCCGTGTGTAGGTGTTTAGGGGTGTTTAGTGTTTGCGGATGCTCCGGAAAAGCGACATTGCTCGAGGAAGATTGAGAAAATATACGGTGGTTTCGAGTATAGATTGTTTACTTGATAAGATGCGGTCTGAGTAAGGTTCTATTAATAGGAGAAAAAAATGTGCGCTGTAAATGTCAGAGTACACAATGATTTTTTCTCGAGAATTCTGTCGCTTTTCGTGGATCGGTAGCTGCATGTTGCGTGTCTTATTTGTGGATCACGGGGGATACGCTCGTTGATCTTTGAACCGAAAAATTGACTTTCCCTGTCCGATCTCTAACGTGGAAACGATCTTGGTTTCGTTACTTGAAGGAACTGATCGTATCGATAAATCAACGGTGAAGTTATCGCGATAACTCTTGGTACTTGACACATCTTTAACCGTGATAAGTATTACGTAAACTTCTATCTCGAATCTTTTTCCGTGTCCGTTTATTTACGCAACATGCCATGCACTTAAATATCGCTTAATCTGATATAAAGAATAAGAAGTGTTTGTATATAACGGTGTTTTCCTGTTTTATCGTGTTCCGATTTTTCACTATGCATCTTGACGTTTCACTAAAGTCTGAACTGCGGATTTTATGTATACATGGAGTAAACTAGTGCAGTACAATAATGTAAAAACTTTCATGAAGTTTATTAACGTCTTTAATTTATACCAGGATAAAATCACCGTGTAAGAAATAAATGTTCGTTTACTTCCTACTTTTTTAAATTTCTGCACGAAGACTTCAATTTACATGAATATCCGCAGTCCACTTACGCTAATTGCACCTATGGCTGCGAGAACGTAATCGGTTGAGATCGTAGGAATTTCTGTGTAGGCAGCAATAATTTTTAAGTATGTCTGAAGAAGAAGAGTCCATCGACAGTTTCGATGGGTCAAGTTGCGGAGAAATCACTTTGACTTTTATATCATGCGTTGCAAATAAATGCGTCACTGGCGACCCATGATATTTTCAAAGAGTAAAATTGTCTTCGAAGGAGCAAACGTTTTTATATTGAATCGATGTTGAAATAAAATAGAGAAAGTAGAAGACATAATAATGATATTCATAAGAAATGGAAGTCGTTTAATAAATGGATTATTGCTTTTCATTTGTCAAATTTTTTTAAAGAATACCAAAATTTCTGGTGCCAATGAAAACGTCATTGTGAAAAATTTATTGGACATAATCTTCTTCGAAAAGTAGAGTAGCTAGCTCGTTGTATCCCCAGTTTATCAGCGTCCACCCATCAGTTCATTCGATTTATTCACCAACAGTCTTCTGTTTCAATACAGCGTGAACGTGGTCCAGTGGAGCGAGGATCTATACGAGAAGCAGCTGATCGAGCGCACGATGGACGCCTGCGGCGGCCAAGTGGACGTGGTGATCGATTTCGGTACAACCTCTCGTAGCCTGCATCGCAGCATGCAGTGTCTCAGCAAAGGGGGCGTCGTGTTCGTGATCAAAGATGTCGCGGATCGACTTCTGCCGAAGTTCAGCAGACGAGCAGAGGAATGGCAACAGAGCATCAAATCGGTGGAACCTGGTACCCTGGAGCAGTTGCAGGAATTGGTGAAACTTGTGGCTTCCGGTGAGATCGAGCCTCCTCCGCACACCGTTTACCCAGCCGAGGAGGTCTTGGACGTGGTACACAAGCTGTGCCACTCGGAGATCCAAGGACGCGCGATTTTACGCTTCTACCCGGCCGATTAAAGGTGATCCCCTGGGATATAAAACATTACGCGCCCCACGGACCGGCGCGAAAACTTCGAACATAAAAGAAGCTCGAAATAACGGTTAGACCGGATCAATTAGAGGATGCGGCTGAATATCAAAGGGTATTCAGGACTGAAGTTTGAGATTTTCTGAGCGATGATCGTCTCGCGTTGTTTCTTCTCCTCGCGTGGAGACACGTCGATCTTTCTCTCAGCCGATGGGTAAAAGGCGTTTCTATGCGTCAACGATATAAACAGCCGGAGAGACCGTAGCTGATCGTCGTAGAGGAAGAATGATTGAACGATGTAGGCGTATCGATGATGTATGTACGTGGACATGATTTCTTTCGATCGATTGTGGATCGTTGTCCCGTACACGATGGATTATTATACACTTTGCACACTTCGTGTTCGTGAGCGGAACGTTCAGGAGAGACCGACGAGAATCACGGCGGAGCGTCTCCTGCGATCGTACTGTCATAGTTTAGTAAGAAGTATTAAATGAAATGATGATGTCATGTATACCTCCGGAGCAACGTAGAGAAAGTTCGCGTTGACAGTCGTGACGTAGCCGTCGCGCAATATTCACTTCACCCGTGAGTCCATTGTCACGGTTTTGTTTTCACTCAGGACTCATCGATAGCATCGCGATACGATGTTCCATATTTTCGACGAACGGAGTTTCCCCGAGAGAGGATTGGTTGCATTTTTAACACTCGAGTTTGTTGGTTGGATAACGGTATTCTGTAATGACGAAGTTAAGAGGCAAGGAACTTGCTTTCCCGATGTAATCAGGTACACCGATGAAATTCATCAAACATATTTTATCTACATTTCACGTGACTCGCCCTGAACGGAACTTGTCGAGTACAGGATCCACTGATCGTGGGTTAAAGTCTCTCTGGTAGATTCGAGCGTGGTAACGCGAAGTGATACGGTCTCGATAGACCAGGAAGAACATTAATCGTAACATTAAATATTCGACGTCAATTGAATTCTAATTAATGTCATAGTCTCTGGTGTTCCTCGAAATGAGACGCCGGTCTGGGTGTGCTTTATGAATCGGTACCCAGATTTTGTTTAAGTGGAGTAGATCGTATTCAGAATGTACTCTGAACACGTGTACCGATGTATATTCGTATTCTGTGTAAAGCGAGAAAAGAACTATCTTTTCCCACGATTTCTTGGGAACAAGCCTCTCATATCTGTTGACGATTTCTCAAATGAAACTGCGAAGATACACTGCTTTAGAATTACTCGAGATAGTTTAAATACACTTGATTTATCGTTCACGCATAATATAGCATTTATAAGGGTTTGTATCGCGTAATCGGGGACGATTAGGCGAAGTTCGCGCGACGTCTGCACTCACGATGGAGGGCATTTCATGAATTATCGTTAGAGAACAGTATTCCTTTGACATCGTTGCGCCAGTTAGTGATAAGTTAATCGTTTGTTCGCGTGTAATACTTCTAAGTGAGAGCTAATTAATTGCATCTGTTCGGTGTTGTTAAGTCGCTGTACCTCGAAAGACTGTTTTTTTTATTTAAGCGAAATTCTTCTTTCTCTTTCTTCTCTCTTTCTGATTTTCTTTCGTAACTTCTCGATCGTAACCCTAGGCGATAATTTAGCGGTGTAGATACACGTCACCACGTTATTATATCGGCTGTTGATCGTGGCAGTACTTGTATTATATTACGGTGATAATATAGCAGATACGTTTTTTATTAAAAATAAAAATGTGTGCTTCAGTACGCTCCTCCTCCTAAGATCCTTTGGGTTCCAGATCGTTTATATCGTTCACTTCACGTGGATGGAACGAAGTTCGTGATCGATCAAGTCAATCGGGAATATTGTTTCATTAAGCGCGGGTTAATTGGTAAGGTTACAGAGACGAGATGTCGGATAGAAATAGCATCTTCTGAGAAGCTGGATATTTTTTGGGTCATATACGTTACAGAAATACTATGTGTGTTCACAATGTTGCCAAGTCATTTTTTTACTCTATCACTTCTCTTCAGAAAAATTTCATTTATCCAATTTTAGTATTTACTTAACGAATAACAGATACATATTTTCCGTACTGTCATTTCCTCCTATTAATTTACTTAAAATTTGTATTTTAATAAAATTATATGTAGTAATAATTAAAATATAACTCATAAAATAGTAATATTCAGATAAACTATTTGAATCTAACAGATTTAAAATAACTGCCAAACCAATCTTGCTAATCGATATTCGATAATCGAAGCACAGTGTAATAACGATTCTCGTTCGATAAGTACGTTAGTAAATTCGCGCTTCTTTTACCGCACGGTTGCGCGTCCGATGTTCGTGTATCAATTTTAAGTAAAAAATCAATTTGTATGTTTTGTTACTGTTTTACTAGTTAATATTACTTTTTTGTAACAACTTGACATTGAATTACTATAGATAGATAACGTGTGAATGTGCAATGTCAAAAATAGTATCTGGTCCAGTAACGCTGGTGCATAGCAAGGACCCATGTTCGAGTCAACGAAGAATCGGTAACTATTGAACAATTGTTCCTTTAATATACGGAGTATTCATTATAACAATTCACATGATTTTTAAAGTATTCATAATAGAGTGATCTAAAATTTTCTTTCTACGAAACAATGTCTATTTCAAATAGACAACGAATATGTATGTTAGAAGTTACTAGCAAAGATGGCCGTTATTATATTTGAATCTTTCAAGAAATTTCATATTCAGGCCACAGCATTTAGTAATTAATTCATCAAAACATCCAGTACATTTATTTACAATTTAAAAAATTCATTCCATTTGTACCGGTAATACAGAATTTATTAAAAAGCGTATTTAAAGAGTAACAATTAAATTTACACATAAAACTGGAAGTACATTAATTGAGAAACATACTTATATTATCACAGAAGTAATATATCGCCTTAATATGTAGATACAATTCTAATATACAATTCTTAATTACACATAATGTATGCACTTATATAGAATAAATCATTGTGATCCATATTCAAGTGTAAAGCATGTAAATATAAGTACCATAAGCAACAGACATTCTAATGCAATTTGACATAATCCCGTTTACAAATATTCAACATTAATATCAAATAATCAATCAATCAATCAATCTCATTAATCAATTAATTTTCATCCAAATTTGTCACAATAAAAAACTATATTAAGGTGCTACCTGGAATTAAAATACTAACATTAGCAATATAGTATTTGAATTAAGGCACTAACATTAGCAATATAACGTACAGATCTGTATAGTCAGCAAGCTCTGTTCATGATTTCATTGTTTTGTAGTAGGTGCAATGTGTAAGTAATTTTTAGGTACATATCCTTTATTACCATAACCATCTTCCATAAGCCACCATTCATCATTTCCCTTTTCATCATGAGGTCTAACAAGTCTTAAAGCTTGCCCCTTAATAATGGGTAATGTTCTAGGAATAGTTTCAGCAAAATCATATTCTGCATAATATAACTAAAAAGAGAGATTATAATTTATGATTGTCCATCACGCTATCAGAATAATTTTACTATAAACAATATATTGTCATATACCTTGTAGTTTAGATTCTGATACAGTTTAACTGTAGGAATTTGTTCAACATTACCATAATAGTGACCATCTTTCTTTACTCTTTCCTCTATATTGCAATCCAACAACTCTTGTAGATGAGTTTGAGACAAGGATTTTTGTTCTTTTATAGGAGAATCCATGCAAATTAAATCAGGCATACTTGTATTATTCGACTTGGTTGTGGTGGTGTTATTTTCAGTTGACAAACAAACTTGTGGTACTTGTTGCAGTTGTAACATTTTAGCTGACAAAAATCCTTGCGCAACTCCATTATCTACGAACCACCGGCTTGTATCACCCATAGGATCTTGTTTCTTTATTACTGCCACTAGTGTTCCACAAGTTGCAGCCATATCCAAAGATGAGGTGCTTACTACATTCTCTGTAACTATGTATAACTTATCGCTTTGATATTTAGTTCTCAGCGCGATTCTTTGTCTTTCGCTTTGAGGACACCACTTAGATTCAGTTCCTTCTATTCTTGGATTCGTTCCAGCAAATGTGAAACGTGTTATTTGATTCCATAATAAACTATGATTAACGAGAAATGTTTCCAAAATATCCTGAGGTGATAGTTGTATTAAAGTCTACAAATACATGTAAAAGCACTTTAATTGCTTTCCATCTAAATGGTTGTAATATTGGTTGTTATATTAGCTAGAGTACCTCGCAAAGAGTTAAATATCGCTTGGTGATTTTTCCACACAGAAGCTTCCGCGATTGTGCAAACGCATCAATACAGTTTACTAGTACTTTAGTTGCTGCATCATTCAGAATCGGTAATTCTTCTAACAGCTGTTGCGTTAAAGCTTCATAATTACTTTTTGCTGTCGTCAATTCATCCTGTACCTATATAAGTATTAAATGAAACAATAATGTACGTTAGCATTATCTTTACAGTCATATTTAAAAAAAAGAAGTAGTCAACAACATAAGGTAATTACAATTCTTGATTCCTTATACTTGTCACCCTTAGAAATAGCTGCATCATAGTCGAGCAGTTTGTCGTGTCTTTTTGTTATTAATACTGCGGGTCCTTCTAATAATGTGGCCAAGTAATTCACAGGTGCACTGACCCTGTTTTTCAAACACACTTTCAATTCTTGAATAAATTGCGACCAAATGGTCGATCTTATGTCTCTAAGTCTTTTGGCATCGATATTTGGTGTTCCCTGATAGTATTGAATTAAAAAATCTGATAACACTTCTCCGGAAATAGCTTCGTCGCTTAGGTGTATGAGACACTGTTCTACATCTTTAGCTAACTGAAATGTACATTTCTCTACTGATCTGAACTGTCTCTCGAGTTGTTCAAAGTCCTGATCAACCGCGACATTTGTTAATCCTAAACTCGCGGACAATCGTGTACTCAATCTTGTGGACATCTTTGCTACAGAATGCATGTTAAGTTTCGCCATTTTACTCATTAATGTATTGTCATTGTCCAAATATTTGGACACTAAATCTTTCCGACGTTTGTATTCATTAATGTGACTTGCAACTGCTGTCATGGTCTTCCATGCTTCTTCGACAGCAGATTTGTCTGGATGATTGTCGTCTGTACACTAAAAAACAACTAGATCGTTTAAAAGTAGTTTATAATACACTGATAATATATAAGCAAGCATTGGTACATGCAAGCACTTATCAAGTGGATTGCAGTATTTCGTAAAAAAAAAGAAGAAAACAGATTCATAACTATACTCACTTTTACTAGTTCATACAAAATAAGAGGATACTTCAATATTCTTTGTACTGGCTTTATAAGAATGGAACTCATGTCGAAGCAAGCTACTTGATACCGTAGCGTTTCAATACCTTTATTAAATACTGTCATTATTTCTTCATTAGTTTCATACTGAAATTATGAAAGACATCTATGTAAAACAGAGTATATGGGGAAAGTGTATTCTTTTCTCTTAATTCACTACCTTTTTCAATAGAATCAATGCAGCTTCATGATTCCCACAATACTTCACGTATACAATTTTTAATTTCTCCGCCATTTTCGTAAAGCAAGGACCAACTGTTTGTAATTCTTCATCACATCCTTTCATTGCTTTTAATATCATATCTAGCAATTCTTCTGCAACTTGAATTACATCAAAAATGTTACCAAATAGAATAGTTACATCAACTCCCAAAGATTCAAGTGAATTCGGATTATACAAGTTGAATGTTTCATATGTTAACTTTAGATCACGAACATATTCTTTTTCTGTAATCACTAATTCTGATATAACGTTTTGCCTTTGATCTGCTCTTTTTTGTTTAACATCTAAATTGTTGTTGGCAGCAATGTCCATTTGTTGATTGGCATTTTCGAGACTCGGTTCTTCATTTTCTACTACATCTTTCTGTAATGGTACACTACCCGGTGCTGGTACAGGTGGTGCAGGTCTGTGGGGTTCGGAGAGTCTTTTTAATTTTTGCTCATCGACCCTCTTAGGTGCTACTTCATCTTGTTGTATCACAACAAAATCTTCCAATATATTTTGCGAATCATCTAACGACTTTGTGTTTGATACACTCAAATATCCTCTTGGACATAATCCAATTTTACCAGATGCATTTTTGACATTAACCCAATCAGCATTGGCCATATTAATCACTGTAACTGTATCACCTTCCTTGACACTCAGATCTCCATCCATTTGAGCTTTAAAGGTATACTCCACCCTTGCTTGTGTATCAGGATCCAATTCATTGTATTCCGTGGTTGCTGTATCTTGGTCAAAAAAATTTTGCTCGTTACTGATTTCAATACAGTCAACTATAATATTAACATAAGATATCGGGAAAATTCCTTTGTGATTGTCTATTGTACCCTCCATCCATTCTGAATCTATGTGTTTAATGAGATGTACTACTTCTTTTGCTCCAAAACTGAGTTCATTTGGAAACTGAGCATTAAATGGATACAGTGTTATAGCATAAGGTTTCACATCCAATGTATTGAAACTAATATTGTCCTCAATGCTTTCCATTGGATCTGACACAGTTGTCTTGTACTGAGGAAATAAGTCATAGTAATCTGGTGCAGGTTCTTCAATATAAGACTGCATAGCTGCTTCATTCATATTTTTGTATGCTGTATCGTTGTGAGTCACTCTTGTGGGAAAAGAATTATTGTCTACAACAGAGGTTTCATCCGATTGATCAGGACTATCGTTTATGTAAGATACAAATCCTTCTGGAAATATTCCTTCTTTGCCACTATCCGTTATGCCACGACACCAGCCATCATCAAGGATTTCTGTGACAATAACCATTTCACCTTCTACCAAATCAAGCTCACCATCAAGTTGGGCTTTCAGATTAGTTTTTATTCTGGCTCTTTTCCTTGTAGTCTTTGTTTCTGAAGCTTTCTAAAAGCAACAAATGATCCTTACTTATAATTTTAAGTAATTTCATTGATAAAATAAGCATCATTTAAAAAAAACATACTTTTAACAGCTTAGAGTCAAGTTGCCAAACATGAGTTAAAGGAAATATACCCTTCTGGGCATCTATTTGCCCGAAATACCACCCTGACCCAACATCTTGTTTTCCAATAATAAGTTCACCTGGGTTCATAAAATATGATTTAAAATAAATGCACTACCCCTGAATAAATGTTATACTACAAGTGTTGAAGTAAAGTACCTTGTCCAAAACATAAATCTCCATCCTGTTGTCCTGGGAAAGCAGCAGTAGTAACATACAAACTTTCTGAATCCTGTAGACGTGGGATGTCTACTTTGTGTAAGTGGCTCGAAGGAAATTTTCCTGACCTGCCTCTAGATTCTCCGTAACACCAATGTTTATCAACGACACTGTATACCTGTTCCAATGTTATAAACATCATGACGTAATTTGTATTTAATTTCGGTAGGGTTATATGGATATGTTTACATAGATGTCAGAGCGCGAAAATTACCAAAAAATATTCCCCTTTCTGTAAGCTTAATTCTCCATTGACGGTCGTGAAAAAATCAGATAAAACTTTAGTCAATATTCCCGGCTCCATTCTTCCTATGCGTGATCACCGTGACTTTTGCGTGTTATTTCGGCGTATTGTGGAAAGTCACAATCCGCAGTTCCGAGGCGGACACTTGTCAGTCTTGTGATAAGGTGGCTAGTCACGTGGCAGGGGAACATCTGTGCAGAATTATGTCGATTCTCAAATTAAATGCGCGCGAAGAAACATGTTCCAATTAAATAACAAATTGTATCGCAATATTACAAATATGTACTGTTTGAACGATTAGAATTATTTTTTAATATTTCTTGTAAAGTTACCTAAAGCTATTATTTATAGTAAAGCTATCATTCGTTAAAAAAGTTAGTACCTGTTGTGTTTATTTTGGTCAAAAAGTTTACACTCACTTGTTTTGTTCGAAATGAATATATAATATATACGAAAGTATAACATTATTGCAAGTGTGAATATTAATTATTCTGACGTGACACACAATTGTTTATTGTTTATTTAACGATGTGTATTTTAGTATTTACTCCCACATGAACTATTATATAGTGATGTTAAAGACTTCGTTTTGGAATAGAATATTCTTGTATGTGTATGTGGAGCAAATTTAAAAAGAAACTATATATACAGAAGTAAACAAAAAATTCTTTATACTACAATTAAATTAAGATTTACTGATCATTAATGATATTGAGGTTATGGTATCATATAGGTTATATATACATACAAAATTATTTGTATTTTATAACTAATGTATAGACATTTATGAATTAATTGGTAACATACACATATTACGCAATGCAGTGCCTAAAGAAACTTTTTCAGGTAGTAGAAAATAAGGCTCAATATTATAATAGAATAAACTTGATACATAGAAAGGGAGAACGCACTGTATTAAATCTGATTCACCGATTTAAACATGATTTTATCCAAGAATTCGAAGGATATGAGGAAAGTGAAGAAGAAAAGCATACTTATAAAGAAATATCTGAAGATTATTTAGGGAAAATTCTTGATGGACATAGAGTATTCATTATACAGCCATATATAAAATGGGGCTTTAGGAAGAAAAGAAATACTACACCTGACTTACAGTTAGCAGAGGCAGTGGCACTTGTTAACACATTACCAAATTGGTCTGTAGTTGGTAAAAAAATTGTTCCTCTATTGACTCTACAAAGAAACCAGCTAGTTGGTAGTGGAGCTCTTGAAACTTTGAAAGGAGAAATTAGAGGTTGCCCAGGTGTGACAGCAGTGTTTGTTAGTACAAACTTACTGAAGTTTGTACAAATTGCAATATTGCAAAAGGCTTTTGGTTTACCAATTTATGATCGTTATACTGTAGTCATTCATATATTTCACAAACACGCAAAGACTGCAGAAGCAAAACTGCAAGTGGCTATAGCAGAAATTCCATATATAAAGAAGAAAATGATCGATTTAGCTGAAAGCAACATAGGAAGGACACGCATAGACGATAAAACAAAGGAGTTACTTGAAACCAGAGAAAAAAAATTAAAAAATGCTCTTCAAAATTTAAAGGAACACAGAAAACTTATGAAAAGGCAAAGGCAGAGTTATGGTTTCCCGACTATTGCTGTAGTTGGTTATACAAATGCTGGGAAAACATCTTTAATAAAAGCATTAACAGGAGATTCATCAATGGAGCCCAAGGATAAGTTATTCGCTACTTTAGATACAACAGTTCACCAAGGTTACCTCCCCAATAAGTTGAAAGTACTCTACATTGATACTATTGGTTTTATTCAGGATGTACCAGAGACCTTAATAGAACCATTTAAAGTTACTCTAGAAGATGCTATAGATGCAGTAAGTTTACTGCTACATTTCGTAATTATTACCAAACATTTGATAAAAAATCGTCAATTAATTTCTTCAATTATTTTAGAACATTATAGTGCATGTTTATGATATGAGTCATCCCGATGTCAATGCACAGATTCAACACATACAGAAAATGCTAGAACCTATGATAGACAAAAACAAAATAATAATTAACGTGGCTAATAAATGTGATATCGTCGACAAGAATTCGCTTGAGAAAGAGACGCTACCAGAAGACACGTATCCTATCTCCGCTCTTAAGTCTATCGGCACTGACCTGTTGCGATTCAAAATAGAAGAAGAAATTCTAAAAGCTGCTAATTTAATAACAAAACGCTTTAAAGTCCCAGTAGGTGGTCACGTTGCAACATGGTTATATAAGGAAACAACGGTCACTGATGCAGAGCCTGACTCTGAAGATCCACAATACTTAATTATGAATGTAATTATGACGACATCAGCATTTTACAGACTGAAACGATTTTGCAAGCAATAAAATGTTTACTTAAATCGTTTTCTCGTGTTACTGTTCACTGTAATTTCATTTACATAATTCTTTTTGATTGACACCTAATACGGCAATAGCAATCTACAGTGTAGGCCCAATATAATAATCCTTCGGTTAGGTGCAAAGTGTTGAGAAACGTATGTCATCTTCTTCATGTAATATATTTCAGAAACTGTTTTTTTCCTCTCTTCTCAACGAGTTAAATATACTTAAGCACTTACCGTCGTCAGAATCCTCGAGATTGAGACCTGTCTCTCTTGAGATTTTTCTTTTTTACCAGTCGTTCCATACACGTGTTTCGCACGTGTGTCCCTACACTCGTTGCCTTTGAATACCAGATGTATGGACACACGACTTGAAATATCAGTCAAAGCATTCGTTACGCTCGTTAAACGGATCAAGGAAAAGTATTAAATGTCCATACGAAAATAAACGGAATAACTTGTTTTATTTACGATCTTCGAAAAGAAGCTCGAGTTCAAGGTACAAGATTACAAACCATAGTTCCACTTGGAAAGCTTTTTGTTCTACGTTTCGATTTGTCACTGAATATGTAAAAATCCAAAAATCGTATATTCGAAGATTTCAAGGGTATCCTACCCCCTTCAATCGAATAAAATGCCTACAAACGAAAAATGAAATAATTCTTCGCAACTTCTGAAAATTCATATCCGAAGAACATGAAAAATATCATCAGCATGACTGCTGACATTTTAATTCTCCAATGTCAGCTCTGAACGAGAACCAACCGAACAGTGCGTCTCCACCATAAATCGGTCCTCAAGGCGGCGCGTGGGCCGCGGAGGATGATGCGATTTCGTATTATCGGCGAGTAGAATTCCACGAGTACGGCGATGATGGAGAAAAAGGGAGATAGGAAAATCCGGCGAGGGGTAAACGAGAGATAAGCGAAAGTTCGTTACACTCCTCGGCCTCTCGATGCGTCTGGCCAAATGCGGCTTGATATACGAGGCCGTCCACGGTTAAGAAAGACAGCAGCGGAACGACGGCAATTACGTACGCCGTGCATTGAGGCTGGTAAATCAGCCTCTGGAATTTAATGAACAATGGATCCACCTCGGCCATACGGATCGATCGTATTTTTTTTTTTCTTTTTGGAATATGTATTCTGCGTTCAACGGGTTTTCCGCGTAAGGGCGGGCGTTTATTAAGAGCCGAGTTTATTTGTCTTATCTCGGTCGGTGAGTGCAAGAACGATCATCCACCGGCAAGAAACTTCGCGGCGAGGGTGCCGGCGACGTGATGTATAATTCATAGAGACGGCTGGGTTCATGCATATATAGATATATAGAGATATATACAGGGTGGCTCGTTTATTGGTGGTATAACCGGTCGATTGTTTGAGGGAAAAATGGGTCGAATGTTTCGAATTAAATTTGCTCGTATAAGGTAAATGAGACTTCGTTACTGGAGATGGAAAAAACAGAATAAATTTTGTATTCCGAGCGATTTCGAACCAGTATCGGTCGCTTGTAACTCTAACGGTGGAATTTTGTTTTGGAAATGTGATCTGCGTGCATAATTTAATTTGATTTCTTTAGTCCATTTTTTATGACTAGGTAAGAAAATTCTTGCCCTTACCACAAATTAAAATGCTGATTGTTTTTTCCAAATATGCTGAAACTTCGAAACGAGGTTTACAGATGCGCGGAATAACTTCCATTAAAATAAAACAATACGTACGTTGTCTTTGACCTATAGTTTGAGAAATACGATTCTGGTCCTTCACTCCCACTGGTTCATCTCTTCCAGTCTAACCCTATTATAGATTACATGAAAACGATCAGTTTGACTTCCGAGAGGTTCAAGCAGAATCCACATACGTTTGAGGAATTAATCGCCACATTGTCGTCCCAGAAGAGTTTCCGAGACGTGGCCGTCCTCCGGCGGAGGAATTAATGAAGGATTGATATCGCGATTATGGCTGCTCCCCCTCGTAGGAGGAAGGGACTGCCGTTGGCGAGGGCCGATCGACAACGAGCAAACGGGCCACGATAATTAATTACGAGCGTGACGTCGCTTTAACGTCGTTAATTTTCATTATCTCGATTGGAATTCGCTTGTAGCGCTACGTGTACCGCTTACGGGTGGGAGCTTGCTAATTTCTCGCCTCGTCTCGTCTCGGCCTCTCCGCGGAAAAGGCATTAATAATTCCAGCTGTCCTTGCAAAATTTGTCACCTTCCCCCCTTCCCCGTAAACTCATGGAAACTGGGTGTGTTATGTAGCTACTGGGCTGTGGGCCCCTGAAACGGGTTGGCCAACGTTAACGTCGGGACAAGCACGAGATGCTTTCACAGAGATCCAAGGATCCGACCCGGCAATGCACTTTGCATGTTGTCTGGATTATTAAAGCGAACCAAGTGAAACCTAATTATCGCGGTGCCACTCCTGGCACTGGCCCTAGCCGAACGACTAATTTCCCACCGCTTTCCTACTGTTTACCGAGGCAACAAAGCTACAACTTTACATTCCCGACCGCTCCCAAACTGTGGGACGACTCTAATCTCTGTAATCTTCGCGCGTCTACCCGCTGGATGCGTGAGATTGCCTGTCGTCAGGTCGCACTTTTCAGCTCGTGTTCTTGTTTGTATACCCTTCTTCTCTGTAGTATCCACTATTTTCAACCGTTCGGATAAATCGACTAGTTTGTGGCGGGAGAATGTTTTCATCTTTCGAAAAGCAAAAAACATATGTAATGCTTGCATTGGCATTCTTCGACGGATATGAAGAACATTTGGGAAAAAGATGTGTTGTTTAGACTTGTTCCCTTATTGAAAGTATAGGCTGAAACATATCTAGTATACTGCTAAAAGCAATTAGAGGATCATGTAGTGCAATCACTCCGTTAATACGATGTATAATATCCGAAAAGTTTTTTATATAAATATAACTAGGTGTTCATAGTGTTGGTATTGTATGGAAAAGATACCAATTTAGCAAACCAATAACGCTTGTTTTGTGTATTTCGCTTGGTAGATAGAACAAGACCACCTACATTAGCGATCCCATAATTCATTCAACCAGTAAATCGTCTATGAGTGTTCAAAGGCTCCTCGGCTCTGACAAGGGGAGGTCCCCAGGTGCTACGCTGACTTTTTAACGAACTTTAGCATAGAGCTTGGAATTCTGAAGCCAATGATATTTCGTTCAGCCACATATGACCATTAATTTATGAACTATAACTAGGAACTAACTTCGAACATTCATCGACGATATACTGTATATTAGCAGCTAATACCGTCGTCTGAATATCTCCCACCTTTTTTTTCGAATTCCTTATAATCATAGGTCTTGTCAAAAGGAATGAAGACAGTTGTAAGCGTTATTGCTCCATTATAATTTAGCCATAAAATAGCGATTTCTTATCCGACACATTCTCTTAACTATCTACCTGACCTTAAGCTGACTTTTACGGTTCCGTCCGGTCTCACCCGCCTACCAATGGATTTCACTAAGGTAATCCGTTTATAAATTCAAACGAGACAACCCCGTAGCAGATTTCGTCAGGGTTGTCCGTCTTGCCGCCACTTATCTGACGTATAGAACGCTCGTATTTCTTTCGTTCGAGGTGTGTCGGTTCGCCGCGTTTATCTAAAGCTGGGCGGCTTAGCCGGGCGACTGTAACCCAACAATTACACCGAACGATTGACTAACGAATGTCGATCGACCGGCGAACAGCTACGTATAACGTAATGATTGGCCGTCCCGCTGATTTGGTCGCCGTTACGGATTCAATTACGCCTAGCGCTAGTCTGGCCTGATATTTTCCGCCGTTCCTGGATTCGACGTCCCGAAACTGACGTGGGATCCAGAACTTTGATCTCCGGCCGTCAAGTCCGTCCCCGAATCGAATTAAACACGGCTACGCGCATAAATAACGAAAACGGTGTCTATCGTTTATCGCTATTGTCTGCGGATCCGTTCTGTATTGAATTTTAATTAGACACCAGTCTCGTTCGTTTAACCCGTACCAATTCTGATCGGTGGTTCAATAAAATTGTCTCGTTCGTGGAATATCATTTACTTGATGCTTTGGAATATTTGGACGGAATATTATCCAAATAAATACAATAGACTATCGGTCGAAAGTATGGGACCAGGTCTGATAGTTAAAGAAAGAGAAAAATATTATTCTACAAAGATTTCATTAAAGTATTTTTATTATGTATATTTGGTGTAAGTGATATGCTAAGACTGATTAGAAATGATTTGTATATGTATCTACTGGTTCCGTAATTTTCATTATATTGTAACAGAATAATTATGAGTTACTGTTCCATTAATCAGGAACATCTCAGTTTGTATACGTTTTTTTATTATTTTTAACATTAAAATGATCGTGACAATTCTATGAAAAATTGACTGTTAGTTTCTTACCTTTCATGCGTTGTTCGAAACTCTTTGTATAGATCGATATGAGGCTTCGTTTCCATAAACATAGAATTTGAAGGGAATACATTTGGTCAATTCGTCTATTACTCGCTATTTTCACTTCTAAGACACACTAATGATATGGTGATTTGTGTGTTCCATTAATCTTATTATCGACCAGCTATCAGATTATATTGTTATTGCGAGCAACAAATATTATCGTACTAGTACCAGTGTTTGCCACCATTAACGCAAGTAGAAGTAGTTGGTAATAGACAGACACTCGAGTCAAGTGAGGCATGCGCGAATCGACGAACATTTAACACGTCGACTGCCACAGTGAAAAAGGCCGTACGTATACAGACATACTTCATTTCATTTTTCAAGTCATAAATCGTCGAAAATACATATGCGTTTAGGTAATGGAAGCTGTTGACATATTTTAAAGAAATTGGAATTTTGTAAATTTTTGTTGTATTTGTAACAGTGCTTAACATTTGAATTCCATCAAAGGAAGGAAATTAAGAAAGGAAATCCCAAAAAAATTGTCCATTAATTTTGGTACCTACAATCGAAACATGTGACTGCTAAGACA